GATCAGATCTGATCAGATCTGATCCGATCAGATAAGGTAAGATCAGTCTTTACTGTCATTGTACAGAGCACAATGAAATTACTATTCATTTTTATATATATTTATATATTATAAAGCACTTTAAACAGCACCAGGCCAACCAAAGTGCTGTAGACAGACACAAGAGTTAAAATATGCAGCATTTATATTTACAGTACATGTAGAACAGAGTTATGATACGCAGTGAGGTTTTGCACCATCTCACTCAGACCCAAAGGCAAGGCAGRAGTAGTGTGTTTTTAAACGAGACTTGAAGACAGTGAGGGAAGAGGACTGTCTGACTGTCTGAAGTGGTATGGTATGGTAAACACCAGGAGAATTTACATCCACAGCTCTTCAAGGCCATGTAGGASAGACACAAARCAGTAATCAGTTGTTTGGGAACAGAAGAAAATGTTTTCAGTCAGGCAGACAATAACAATTTTCCATCTGCCTTCATATCCGCTGGTACATCTCAGMGTGGTGAATCCAATCAAACAAAAAGTCTGGACAATCCCACCGAGCCGAGCTCACAGCTTCTCCAAGATCAATTCCATCTGGCCAGCAAAGTCCAGGAACCACAGCCGGCCCGTGAACCTCAATAGAACCGCTTGCAGACCAAGTCCAGCTCYCTCAAGGCAAAAGTCTGAGTGCTGATAGAACAGCAATCCTTCATATTGGTCAGTCAGCCAGGAGATGAAAAGCCACCGATGCTGTTTTGTAGAKCACCAGGAGACCACCAAGCCAATCTGTAGGATCCAGTGATCAGAGTCCAGATATTTATCCAGAACAGAGGTCCCACCTTTGACATGTCCTCCCATGGTAGAAATTATTAAGACACCAGTTATTTCCTTCATTCTTTGTTCCCTTCCTTCCTCATTCCTCATGTCCTTCAGCCTTGCCTCCTCTCCCAGGTGSTGCACATGAAGCTGTAGGCAGCGTACCTGACAGGTGAGGTGATGGACTTGATGGATGTAACCATGGTAACAGAGCTGATGTCTTTGAAACACAATTTAAATTCAGCAGAATCAGAACCTGGCTCCTCTTCACAGCCAACTAAAATCTGATTCCACTTCCTCCCAGAAGGTGGTTTGATGGTGCAGCGTCATCGTTCCACCACATGATGGCGACGTTGTTCTGCTGCGACACAAACTTCAAGTTTCTGACCAAAAACAATAAAACACTTCTTACAAAGTGACTCGAGAACTTCCTGCAGGACCAGCAGAACATCAGGAATCAGAACCAGAACTAGAACCTGAACTCCATCCATTTTGCAGACTTCTAGTTCTGGCTGWGTTCCACCAGGGGGCGGGGCTTAAACTGGTTCTGGAGCCTGTCAGGGGTCCAGGTGGGTGATCATATAACAGTAATATTCCTCTGCAGCTGAAAGAAAACCTTTAATTACATTAAAAACTATCTGTGTTTGGACCAGAAACAGATGCATCTTTCAGAGGAGCCTCTCTGGTCCGGTTCTGAAACCAGACCCACCTGGATCCAGGTGATCTGAGGCGTCATTTTATGATTTATAGTTTCTGACAGAAGAGGTCAAAATAACCTGAGTTTTAGTGATCAAACAAACTGGATCCATTCAGTCACTGATCGTTATATTCATGCAGCATGATTCACACACACACACACACACACACACACACACATACACATACACAC